CGTCGATGCCAACACGCATGGGCGTCGATCACGCTGACTGCCGATGTCAAGGTTGTAGTCGGTGGACGATGTCGTTGATGGACCTGTGTCTGCGTAATGTGCAACACCCCGTCAACTGGTGACGTCAGGTGACAGGCCCAGGTACCATGGTGAGCGGGCCCAGGTCCTCCTGCCTCGAAGCTGTCCTTGATCTGCTGCTTGCAGGCACGGATGTGGCGCTCGCTGCTGCCGCTGATGATGAGGTCGTCGACGTACGTGATGATTCATGTGCGCTGTCGGTCGTCGTGGAGCTTGGCGAAGAGCCATGCGTCGATGTAGAAACACGACAGGTGGTGTGTGTGTTTACTGTAGACAAACGCAACAAACAAGAACACAAGGAGAATGAACAAGCACAACAAGCTGCTGCCAAATCAACTCGGGCAGCACGCTCAAACGAATACAAGACAAGTGCACACGGTCAATGACGCTGCCAAGGCGACATGGGCAGAGTGTGCACGAACACAAACAATCTAAACAATGAGCAGCATGCATACATGCGCGCAGAGCAGTGCTAGGCATGGCATGGATGCTTGCAGGCAAGCATACACAACAGACAACACTTCACAACACTGCATGGCATGCAGGCATGGCATTTGCCAAGCATGGCGAGCATGCACACACACACATGGCACACAACTCACGTGTGTAGGGGAAGCAGGAGAGGAGAGGCAGTTGGCACACATGCATACCAGCAGAGAGGAAGGAATGTTTGCAAACGGAAAAACCACAAAGCAGGTGTTGTTGGCAAACAAGACAAAACCACACGCGAAGGCAAATTAGGAAGGACTTAACACAGAACAGAAACTCACTGACTCTCAACATGCTGATGTGGACGACGGCCGGCTGCCCGAAGATGTGCAGCTGCGGCACGTGCTTGGGCAGCGAGCCCGTGACAATCTGCAGCGGTGTCTTGCCGTGGAGGGAAGGGCGAGGCATGTTGTTGAGGATGTGCAGGGCGTGGTTGCAGGCGAGACTCCAGTACGATGCGTCGAGGCCTGCACCCGTGATCATGGCTCGCACCATGTCGGAGAGGGTGCGCACCTGTCGCTCGACGATGCCGTTCTGCGCCTGGGTGTACGGCGGGGACTGCTGGTGCTGCTTCAGGTGCTTCTTGACGATGGCCTGGAAGTCAGCTCCGAGGAAGATGGCATCGGAATCCGTCTGGAGTGCTGTTGTTGTGGGCGAGATGGGGAGCTTGGTCTCGCGCAGGAAAGACTGGAACGCGGCAACTGCGTCCTTCTTGGCGTTGAGATGGACTGCATGCAGGAGCTTGCTTCCCTCATCGACGATGACGAGGCTGTAGCGCTTGCCCGTGGGTGAGTCCGCGGTCCAGTCGACGATGTCGGCGTGGATGCGCTCGCCGGGCACCTGTGTGCGCTCCGCGTGCTTGCTGACGCTGTGACGAGTGCTCTTGGTCACTGCGCACGTTGTACACTGCTTGCTGCTGATGGCGTTGCGATCGTCGATGCCCATCAGCTTGCAG